GCCACTGCAGGTGCCTGGAATTTGGGATGACACTGTGCTGGTGTCACCCTGTGGGCCCTTGCATCATTCACAGCACAAAAACTGCAAAATATTTTCCCATTTTGGGCCAAATTTGTTTGGTTTTTTTTTTCAGCTTTGCCCAGCTCCTGCTCACCCTAAATATTGAACACCCCTAAATATTTTTCATCCCCCAAATATTTCCAAGTTAGGTTTTAAGGTCCTTGGATTCTATATCCATCCCGTCCGGGGCTGCCTCGTGCCAGGATAATTTCGGTGTCTCCTGCTTCCACTGGAGGGCCAGCACATCCCAGGGAGAGCTCCCAGAGCTCCCGGCTGGAATTCCGGCTCCAAAGGGGTTAAACTCACCCGGGGGCACAACCGAGGAGAGAAACCGCCTGGAAATGTAAAGTGCCGTTTATTTATTATTTTCCCTCCCTCCCCATCCATGATGAAAATATCGAGTTTAAAAAAAAAAAAAAAAAAAAATTAATTGCACCACCAAACTGCTCCATCCACACCCTCCTCCTCCTCTTCTTCTTCCTCCTCCAAAACCCAGCACCAAAACCTATGGAAAATAGCCCGAAAATTGAGGAACCTTCCCTGCTTCCCACATAAAATCAGAGGCAAAATCCACCACATCGAGCACCCCACGGCTCCAGGGCAGCTTGGCCAGGCATGAGCTGAGCCAGCAAGCACAGACCCCTCAAATCTGGGGTGTTCTCCCCAAAATTGGAGTGTTCCCCCCAAAAAAATTGGGATGTCCTCCCATTTGGGGATGTGGCTGCCCTGTGGATTGGCCCCAGGCAGGGCAGTGCCTTCGTCCTGTGCTGGAAAACAGGAAAGGAAAAGGGATGAGGAATTCGGGGTTACCCAGCCCTGGGAGTTAATTTTTGGGGGGGCTGCCATGGTGGGACCCAGGGCAGGCAGGGGGATGGCAGCTGCTAGCCTGACCGAGTGAAAAACAACCAAAAAAAAAATAGAAGGAAACCACCAAAAAATTCCCACCAAACTTCCAAAATGCTCACGGGGGGGCTCAGGGATTGCCAAGCCCACGTGGGGTGAGGAGGGGAATAATTCACCCCAAAATCCACGCGGTGGGAAGGGAGGGGATCGGGGCCTGGGGGGCTGCAAGGTCCTCGATGGGAGGGACAACCCAGGGACAATGTGGGCTCGGGGTGGTTCTTCCCTGGCCAGGGGGCTCCGACAGGGAATCCTGGAGCTCTGCCACATCCACAGTGGCTGAGGCCACCCCTGGGATGGGCTGGAGGCAGCTGGAGGGGGAAAATGCAGCCTGGAGGGTTCCCTGTGCCCACGATGGGATCAGGAGAGGGAGCCCAGCCCCGGGCAGGGCTGCCGGGAACAGCCAGGCTCTGCCTCCAGCTCTCCGGGCAAGGAAAATCCAAAATCCACTCTCTGCCCTCACCTGGACACTGAGAGGTGGGAGCCATCCCCATCCCATTCCTCTGTCCTCGGCCCCATGGATCCACCCCTCCCCTGAACATCCAGCTCAGGACAAGGGCAGGCTTCCAAAGAACCCTTTAAAAATCAAAGCAGCACCAATTTCTGCTCTGCCCAGAGCCCAGCTGCGTCCCCAAGCAGGACAGTGACACTGCTCTGGGCCACCCCGGGCAGGGTTTCTCCATTCCTGATCCCCCTGATTCTCCATCCCAGAGAGAAAACCAGGGATGATGAGCTGAAGCATCAGCTACCCCTCATCCCCGCCCCACCTCACACCCTCCATTCCCTTCCTTTTTAACCCGACTGAACACATTTCCAAAAAAAAAAAAAAAAAAAAAAAAAAAATCCGAACCAAAACAAAAATAAACCCAAAATAAAGAAAAAAACCAACATAAGCAGCACCACAATTCCCAAGTGTCAGGAGCTCCAGAGCTGGAGCAGAGGCCTGGAGCACCCCCGGATCCGAAGGGACCGATCCCGGAGGATGGAGCCGCTCGGGGGGCCGGAGCTCTTTTGGCGCTGGGGCTCGGCGGGCTGGGAGGGAGGAAGGAGGAGAGGAAGCGGTGCCAGAGGCAGGAGTGCCAGGCCGGGCTCACATGGCAGCTCGGGTGGGAGTGCTGGGCTGGTTCAGCCGCAGCGTCCGGCACAGCCAGCCCGCGAAATCCACCTCCTCCACCTCGGAGCGCTTGATGAACGTGTGGCTCTGCAAGCACAGGGGAAAACACGGTCAGGAACACCCCAGAGGAGCATCCCAGATGCCAAAAAGCCAACCCTGTGCTGTGGGATATGCCCTGGAGAGGGGGGGAAGATCCTGGTGCCAGATCCTGGAAAGAGGATTTGGGGAAAACATTTGTTCCTTGCAGCCCCCTCACCATCAGAGGAAGGATTCCTTCCTAATCTCCCATCCATCCCTGCCCGCTGGCAGTGGGAGCCATTCCCTGGGTCCTGTCCCTCCATCCCTTGTCCCAAATCCCTCTCCTGGTGTCTCTTCAGGCTCTGGAAGGGCTCTGAGCTCTCCCTGGAGCTTCTCCTCTCCAGAGGGGCTCCAGGCCCTCCTCTGGACTCTCTCCAGCAGCTCCAGCTCCTTCTGCAGCTGTCCCGGAGCTGGAGGAGCTCTGCAGATGGGGTCTCACCTGCATCTCCCCTTTCCCTGCTGCCCAGGACTCTGCTGGATCTCTGGGATGGGAGCACAGCTGGGATCCAGCCCCCAGTGCCACCCACGTGCCCGGGTGAGGAGCCAGGGCTGTCCCAGCACCTCAGCAGAGCCTGGCCAGGCTCCCAGCAGAGATCCAGCACGGGGTAAAGGGGGTCAGTCCCTCCCTCCGCCTCATCCCGAGCTCAGCCTGAGAATTCCCAACCTTTGGAGCAAGAGGGATGGGGCAGCAGCTGGCAGAGCCACCCCAGCGCAGCAGAAAAATCCTCTCCCCACTCACCATCAGCATCTTCAGATCTGCTCGTTCTGCTGGGTTTTTAATTAAGCTGAAATGAGAAGAAGAGAGAGAAGCCACGGTGAGATTCCTTGTGGGAATGTGGGGATCAGGCTGGAGAAGCTTCACCCAAAGCCCTGGGAGGCCCCAGCCCTGCCAGCTCAGCTCCCAGGGAGAGCTGCAGGATCCCTCTCTTCCAGACTGTGGGGACAAATTGTGCCCTGCAAATGGAGAAAAGGCCCTAAAGCTTGCCAGGAATCTGGGATTTTTTATTTTTTTTTTTAATATCCAATCTCTGGTTTACTGGGAGCTCTGGCAGCACCTTCAGGTGTCCCTGTGCCCATGGGGTGACTCAGCCCCAGGATCTGCTCCACCACCCCCCTTACCAAGCTCAGATTTAAAAGGAGCTGGGATCCTGCTCAGCAACCCCACAAATAAATTGCTTTTATTCCAACCCCTCCCAAGGCAGGAGCTCCCAGCACAAGGTGGAATCAGGCAGGGAGAGAGAGAGAGATCAGGCAGAACACAGAGGGTGGAGCTGCAGAGCTGTCAAGGAGCACGTCCAAGCCTCCACCTTCAGCCAGGAGATGAAATCCTCACCATTTATTTACAAACTCCTGGAAATCTTGTGTGAAGACTCCACTTGGCAGCTTGGGAGGTGGCTGTGGAGAGAAGGAAAAGGGGTTCCTGCACCACTCCTGTGTTACTGTGCCAAAAATCAGCATCAGCTGCAGTGTCAGGGAGCTGTGCTCTACAGCCACTCTCATCCTCCTCATCCTCACTGCTTTTCCAGCCAGGAAAACCCTTCCCTGCCATTCCTTTCCTTGCTGTTCCAGCTCCCTCTGCATCTGGGGGACCCCACACTGAACCCCAGCCACAGCTGGGAAATCACCAAGCATCCCAATCCTAAATCCAACCTCACAAATCCCAGCTCTGGCCATTCCTATGGCTTATGAAACAATCCCAAAATGAGAATTTTCCATCACATTGGGAAGGGAAGCTGCCCTTTCCACTTGTTTGTGAGAGCTGTCCTTGCAGGGTGGGTAGGACCAGGGGAATGGCCTTAAGCTGAAGGAGGGAAGGTTTACGTGGGATTTTGGGAAGAAATTCCTCCCTGGGAGGGTGGGAGGCCCTGGGATGGATTTCCCAGAGCAGCCGTGGCTGCCCCTGGATCCCTGGAAGTGTCCAAAGCCAGGCTGGAGCAGCCAGGGACAGCGGGAGGTGACTCTGCCATGGCAGGGCTGGCACTGGATGAGCTTTAAGTTCCTTCCAACCCAAACCCAAACCATTCTGAGATTCCACGAGTGACCAAACATTCTAGATCCCACCCTGACTCAGCAGAGCAGGGACATCCCGTGGAACCTCTGGGAATCCCAGCAGAGCCCTGGGAAAACGAACACCTACCTCATTAACGATGTAATCCAGCAGCTCAAAGATGGCCATGGCAGGCCTGGTGTCCATCCCGTGGCCTGGGGGGGTGACACGACACAAAAAGTGCTGAGAGGCTGCTCAGGGCTCAGTTTGGGGTGAAAAACACGACTTTGGGGGGAGCTCTGCTGGGAGAGGCTGAGGCAGCTCCCAGGGGAATTGAGTCATGGTTAAAGAGGAACCAAGTTCATTCCCAGAATTTGGATTTCTTTCAGCAGACCTCCAGTCCAGATTTATTTATGTTTGGACAGCACCAGACCATCTACGCTGGCTGCTCCCAAGGAAATGGCTCCAGCAGAGCCTCCCTGGAATCCCGGTGCCGTTTGGTGCTTCTGTGAGAGCTCCCAGCAAAGCTCTTCCCAAAAAGCTGCCACAGGCTTGAGGAGAACCTGAGGCAGCTCAGGCAAAGCCTGAGGAGCACAAGGGGCTGTGACAATGTCCCTCAAGCCATCCTCTCCACGGGAGCCACGTTCCAGCTGTGCCCACAGCACGAGGGGCTGAGCCTTTCTGTGGGACACGGGAGGGTCTGTAAGGAGCCCACGGAGCCTTCAACAGATCCCAAATCCATCCCCACGCTCCCACCTCGACTCCACCGACCTGTGGCGGGGTGGGCCGTGCCGGAGCGCCGTCCGTGACTTCCCTGGGAACGTTCCCACCAGAGCCTCCTCCAGGGCGGCTCTCCCAGCCGCCCCAGCCGGATCCCAACCCCGCTCATCCCCCATGGAAGCGTTGCTGCCGATGCACACCACAGCCCCTACCACTGACGGGGCGTCCTGGGGGCCTGGCCCGCGGCGAGATGCTGGGGGACTCTCCCTCCGCCCCGTCCACCACAGGACGGCCAAAAATTGCTTCCAGTTCCTTGGAGTCTGGCGGGGGGATTGGGTACCTTCCGATCGACAGCTCCACTAGGGACAGCCCCATGCTCCAGATGTCCGACTGCACCGAGTAGTGCGTGCCCTGCAGGCGCTCGGGCTGCGGGGAGAGCACAGCGGGGTCAGGGGGAACGGGATAATGGCACTGGGAACGGGATAATGGCACTGGGAACGGGATAATGGCACTGGGAATGGGAACAGGGATAATGGGGAGAGCACAGCCGGGGTCAGGGGGAACGGGAATGAGATAATGGCACTGGGAACGGGAATGGGAATGGGGATAATGGCACTGGGAACGGGAATGGGAACGGGGATAATGGCACTGGGAATGGGGATAATGGGGAGAGCACAGCTGGGGTCAGGGGGAACGGGAATGGGAATGGGAACGGGAATGGGGATAATGGCACTGGGAATGGGGATAATGGGGAGAGCACAGCGGGGTCAGGGGGAACGGGATAATGGCACTGGGAATGGGAATGGGGATAATGGCACTGGGAATGGGATAATGGGGAGAGCACAGCCGGGGTCAGGGGGAACGGGAATGGGAATGGGGATAATGGCACTGGGAATGGGGATAATGGGGAGAGCACAGCCGGGGTCAGGGGGAACGGGAATGGGAATGGGAACGGGATAATGGCACTGGGAATGGGAATGGGAATGGGGATAATGGCACTGGGAATGGGGATAATGGGGAGAGCACAGCGGGGTCAGGGGGAACGGGATAATGGCACTGGGAACGGGAATGGGAACGGGGATAATGGGGAGAGCACAGCTGGGGTCAGGGGGAACGGGAATGGGATAATGGCACTGGGAACGGGAATGGGAATGGGGATAATGGCTCTGGGAATGGGAACAGGGATAATGGCACAGGGAACAGGGATAATGCAGAAAGCACAGAGAGGGGCTAAGGGGAAAACTGGAATAGGGATAACAGCACTGGGAATGGGGGATAACAGCACCCAGGGCATGGGAATGGGGATAACAGCACTGGGAATGGGGGATAACAGCACCCAGGGCATGGGAATGGGGATAACAGCACTGGGAATGGGAATAACAGCACTGGGAATGGGGGATAACAGCACTGGGAATGGGGGATAACGGCACCCAGGGCATGGGAATGGGGATAACAGCACTTGGAATGCCCAAAGGCCTGGGTTCCAAGGGAACTGGAGAAGGACTTTGGACAAGGGACAGGACACAGCGAATGGCTTCCCACTGCCAAAGGCAGGGATGGATGGGATATTGGGCAGGAATTCTGCCCTGGGAGGGTGGGAAGGCCCTGGCACAGAGTGCCCAGAGCAGCCGTGGCTGCCCCTGGATCCCTGGAAGTGTCCAAGGCCAGGCTGGAGCAGCCTGGGACGGTGGAAGTGTCCCTGCCACGGCAGAAGTAGGACCAAACAATTCTGCAATTCTGGAATATCCCAAAGGCCTCTCCATGGCAGCTCTCCAGGGAAAGGACAGTCCCAGAAGGATCATGTGCAAAAGGGATGGAAAAGAAGGATGATGTGCAGACAAAAGCACTTGGAGCTTCTCATCCACACTCCCAACTCAGCAGCACTCCCAGCTACTTGTGTTTGGGAGTCTGGAACACCCAGCAGGAACCTATTTCCCTGTGTGCTAAAATCTAAGGAACTCAGCTTATCCATAAAAATGTATTTTCCTGCTCTCTGCTGTTAACACCAAAGAGGAATCAGAGGAGAAGAAAATCCACTTGAGGTTTTGGCTATTAAAATAAAAAATTAGAAATAAATCAATCCATGCAAGTCATGCCCACTGGCAGCTCTGAGGCAGCTTGGAGCCAGGGCCTGGGAGCAGAGGGGACAGGATTTTTAAATAGCCCCTGTGTAACTATAACTGCACTTGAATAACCATTCCCAAAATACAGGAGCAGCTCAGACCTCAGGATCCTTCCCTGGGAGGGTGGGCAGGCCCTGGCACAGGTTCCTAGAGAAGCTGTGGCTGCCCCTAGATCCCTGGAAGTGCCCAAGGCCAGGCTGGACAAGGATTGGAGCAACCTGGGACAGTGGAAAGCGTCCCTGTGAACAGGATGGGGATGGAAACAGCTGAGATGAACCCAAACTACCCAAAAACCCCAGGTGGAAGGAACTTACAGACATGTAGGACCGAGTTCCCACAAAGGAGTTGGCCATGGAGTCAATGAGCTGCCCGCTGACCCCGAAATCACAGAGCTTAATCTCCCCTCGGGAATTCACCAGGATGTTGGAGGGTTTCACATCTGGGAACAGCGAGAGAGGGGAGTGTGAAGGTGGCTCTGGGTGACACCTGGCACTGCAGGCTGGGCGTTCCAGGGCCCTGCTCTCACCTCTGTGCATGATTTGGTGCTTCTCCCGCAGATAGGCCAGGCCCCGTAGAACCTGGGAGGAACCCAAAGGCTGCATCAGAGCAGAGCTTTGCCCTCAGCTCAAGGAGAGCTGCCCTGTGGTGCCCATGTCCCTCAGGGTTTGCAATTTACCCCCAGATCCGTCACACATTTTGGGTGAACCACCCAAAAAAGCTTCTCCCAAACCTCCTCAAAGTGAAGGCAGCACTATGCAGAGGAGCTGGAGGTGGGGAAAAGGGCTGGGAATATTTCCCCTCTGCTCTGGCCTCTTGGCCCAGGAAAGTGCAGTCCCCAGGACTGGGAAACACAGCAAGTTTCCAGGGCAGCCCGGCATTATTTCCAATCCCTGCCCAGCAAATCCCCCCTGGAAGCCTGAGCAGCCCCACCACTCACCGCTATACTGACTTTGCCCAGGATTTCCTCAGGAATTCTTTTGGCTTCTTTCAGTACTTGATCCAAAGAGCCACCATCCTGAAATAAAGAACATGGGAATGATCAACACAGCAATTCCCAGCAGGAAAACAGAGCAGCTGGGTGGGCAGGGGAGCAGGTGGAGGGTGACCAGCACTGAGCACACTCCTTTTCCAGCCAAAGAAAAGGATCTGGTGATCTGAGCTCAGGTTTATCGCTGAAAACTTTTTTTTTTTTAACAGCTCTGCTTCTGTTGGTTCTTTGCTTCCTTTCATCGGTGTAAATGCCAAGATGGTGCTGATTTGAAGGAGAAATAACATCATTCTCTACCAGAAACAACAGAATATGTTCACTGGGCCTCTCAGCAGGCTCTGCAGAGCAGTGGGCTGGCAACATTTCCGTTTGGCCAAGCCCCAAACCTCTGCTTCCTCTTCCCAAAAGTCGCTGTCTCCCTCATTCCGAGGCCTGAGCAGGAATGTGTGGCTCCCACCAGGAGCAGAGTGGCCCGAGCAGGGAGCTGCCAGTGCCCCAGGGCACTGAGCTGGCAGGGAGAGGGCACGGGGAGGGTGCAGGGCAGGGGCAGGGCCTCACCATGTGCTCCATGCAGATGGAGATCTCCCCGTCGCTGTAGAAGGCTCCGTAAAACCCCACGATGTAGGGGGAGTTGCACTCGTGCAGCACCTGCAGCTCCCGGATGATCTGGTTCCTGATGGCTGGCTTGATTTCCAAATGGATCAGCTGCCAAGAGAGAGAAAACAGGAGAGGTGTGACTCCTGGGAAGGAAAAGAACTGATGGGCAGCAGCCCTGAGTGCTCGGAAGAAATGAGACCTTCAAGGGAGGCGCTGCTTTGGAGCAGGATTTTTCCCATTCTCCCATTTCCCACATTGAGGATAAACTGCCAGGACACAGGGAATGGCTTCCCACTGCCAAAGGGCAGGGAGAGATGGGATATTGGGGATAAACCCTGTGAGGGTGGTGAGGCCCTGGGATGGAATTCCCAGAGAAGCTGTGGGTGCCTCTGGAAGTGCCTGAGCCAGGTTGGATGGATCCTGGGACAGTGGAAGGTGTCCCAGGCCATGGCCCTGGGTGGGACTGGAGGTCTCTCCGAGCCCATCCAGTGGGGGATTCCAAGGATTCCACACTGAAGGCAGAGGGAGAGCTCTGTGCTGCCTCAGCCACGGAAGGCGCCGGGATTGCACCGGACACGGGTGGAAAGACGAGTCAGGAGTTTGATCTCAGCCCCTCTGAGTCAGCAGCCAGGAGCATTTTCACAAGCTCTGGAGGTGTTGTAAGAAGGTGCTCCGAGATCAAGGAAACCACAGAAAAGAAAAAGCCCCTGTGAAGTTCTGCACAAGAACGAGCGGCGGCTTTTGGGGCCGCACGTGGGTCAGAGCAGAGTGGGGAGGGAAACACCCTGTGCTGGTGAAAGGAGGCCCTGCCCAGGGAACTGGGTGAGCTGTAAGGCCCCTTCCAACCCAAACCACTCCACGATTCCATGATCCCAGCAGCAGGAAGGAGGAGAGACTCTGGAGGAGGCAGAGCAGTGGTTGTGCTGCTCCTGCCAAGCACAGCCTCTCCCAGCAGGCAGTGAAGCAGCTCCTGATTTTCTACTCCGTGGCACCACTGTGGATGCTCCCAATGAAGGCAAGTCTGAGAGGAACCTCTGTCCCTGCTTGGAATGTCCTTGGGATGTGTTAAATGGGGCTGAGGGACGTGCGTGCTAAACCCATCCCACCTCCTCAGCCACGACCTACAATCCTCAGGAGATCCAATTCCAGTCACTCCATCCATCAGAAAAGGGAAAAAAATAAAACTCCTGTTTTCCAGAGCCCAGGGATCTGTCCCTGGGAGTGCAGCCTCTCCCAAAAGAGAGAGCTCCATCTGGGAGCAGCCAGGACTCTGCTCCTGGCCATGGTGAGGTGGTGAAGGTGCAAATGCAGAGAGAATCCAACCAAACCCAGCCCTCCCCGAGGCAGGGAGAGCTCCAGGTGCTCCCCAGCATTCCCAGTCCCTCGTTACCTTCCGTGCCATAATGAGCCCTGAGGGTTTGTGCTGCACTTTGGTGACCACCCCGCCATTGCCAGCGCCCAGCTCGGAGATCCTCTCGAAGTCATCGTCCTTCAGCTCCCCCACTTTGGCTTTTTGTGTCAGGAAAGCTTCCAGGCGCTTCTTCTGCTGCTCATCCAACTCCAGCTCCTCCAGCTTCTTCTGCAGGTCCACCAGGTTAGCCCTGGAGAGGGGAGGAGGAGATGGGAGACGGTCAGCACCAGGGAAAGGAGGGCGTAGGTGGAAAGTGGAGGGAAATGATGGAAAAGCATTCCCTGACATGTCCTGAGCCCCCAACAATGGGATCACCTGGACAGGGAGACCTGGAGAAGGCCCTGCCCAACACACACAGCCCCTCTGGAGAGGAGCTGGGGAGCAGTCAGGTGTTTTGGGAGAGCCAAGGAACAGGAAAAATCCCTCGGCCCTTAAAGAGGCAGCAGCAGTTGCTGCTCCCTGTCCCGAGGAGCCAAACTTGGCTTTGGCTGTGTAACACGAGAAGGGCCTTCCATGGGGTCCAGCAGCTCCGTTACACCCCCACCCCAAATGCTGAGCACAAAGGGGGGTCTGTGCTCCCCCAGCACCAGCTGCCGAGCCCCCGCCGCCTGTGCCAGCTCCAGCTGCTCTGTCCCAGTTGCTGCCACCCCCTTGTCCCTCCTCACCCACACCGGGACGTGTCGGGAGGGTCTCACCCCATCCCTTCCCTCAGCACCCCACCCACCCCCTCCAGCACCTCTCACCCCACATGTCCCACCTGCCGAGCCCCCACTGCTGCCCCTCAGACCCTGGGTCCCTACCCCAGCTCCACCCTGGGTCTCCAGGCCTGCTTCCCTGCGGTTCCAGGCCTGGATCCGGCACTCCCCAGGCTTGAGCTGCCCCTGCGAACCGGGGGGGCCGGAGCAGCCTCCCCCTGCCCGTCCCATCCCCACCCCAGCCCCTCCAAGCCCCAACCTCCTCCCCGGCAATGCCTCCCTGACCCTAACCTGCCCCACATCGGGCCCACCCAGCCCCCGGGCCCGTCCCAGCCCCCCGGGACCTTCCCTGCTCCCCCCTCAGACCTTCCCAGGCCTCCCCAAACCCGTCCCGACTCCTCCAGGCCTCCCCTGGCCTTCCCCGC